ATATATATATGAAGAGAAAAACGTCAGGTTAAAACATCATTAAAACATTTATTTTCACCAGTTTCGCCGGGAAGACCCGAATTTTTCAAAGGTTTGGCATAATGTCAATCCCTTGAGGTCCTCCCGGCTAGGCTGTTGGGAATAAATGATTTAAGCTTGTTTTAAGGTGACATTTTAATTTATCTTCATAAGTTCTTCTGCGTCCGAGATTTACTTCTGTGTTATATATATATATATATATATATATATATATTGTTAAGTATCAATCCACACTACGCCACTTCCGAAACCGTTGTCGTCACCTGCGGCCAGTCCCGCGTACGCTCGCCCTTCACTGCCGCTTCTTCCTCTTTACTCTCGCTCCCCCGCGCATCCGGGGGACGGGCCCGTTCGGTGCCGCGCTATCCCTCACAATATATATATACATATATATATATATATATATATATATATATATATATATATATATATATATATATATATATATATATATATATATATATATATATAATAAAGATTCTGACACATTTGTTTTTTTTCTGCGCAGAGTGTTGTGATGCCTATGGACTTCTACTTAGTTTATATGGTAAGTTGGCGACACACTTCAAAAATCAAATATATAAATAATAACTGTATCTTTGTGTCCAAAAGCAACTAGTAGGTATTCACTTTAACGCAAAAAAATACAAGTAACAAAAAAAGAAACAGAGAGAACGAGGGTAAATTAAACAAGCAAACGATAAATGTAATCCCCACTGTTTAACTTCTCCCCTGTCTTTACGGCGCCTCTTGGGACAAAAATTAGCTATATCTGATATCCTGGTGCGTCGACAAAAATATTTTCGTCCGATTTCTCTTTCAACTTACTCCACTTGTTCTTCCTCGTTCTCATGCAACTTCTTCTCATTGGTATTTAGTCATTGTTGACAGATATCCAGCACCTCGAGGTATTTACGCTGTCCACTCTTCGTGTTTACTTTTATGTCACTAGCACATACGTGGAGTTACGGAAATATCTTGCTTATTCTGACGCAGCGTCTTTCAAAAATAAAAAAGGGTAATCTATCATAAAAGTCAAAGTTTTCTTTTTCAATACGTTGACTCAGTTATACAATTATAGCGGTATACATATGTTGTAAGAACGAGGGTATTAGCGTGAGAACTATAGAAAGAGGTGAGTTAGCACTGTAAGGAGTGAAGTCAGGGCATGAAGTTGAAATCGGAGACGACAGAAATAAAATGGAACGACAACATTGTGCTGTTTCCCCGTCCCTTTATATCCGTAGTCTCGGGTTTTAACTACGTGTAACTTAAACCAGCTCGCCTGTTTATTAACATTATCATCAGAAGTCAGAACGACCTTTGTACTGCTTGCGCCATTCCACTGGCAGGAGAGAAGTACTTGGTCCCCCTGTTTAAAATAAAAAGGTATGTAATTATTTTTTTAGAAATATTTCTTTCTTGATATGGTGCATATAAAGGAATATTTATAAATAACTAAATATGTACTAAACCAAGTGTTATAAAGGAGCTTCTTAATTTCGGAACAAAACATCGGAACAGAATATAAGTTCCATAACTTCTTGTTATTCTCACTGTGGTCGGGCTTTTTTCCCATCGAGTAAAACTATGTTTGTATAGGCTGCGGAGGGACTAGTGCGAAGATTTTATTTACTTTATACTATGTTTGTCTAAAGAATGTTCATATACCTTCGATATAGGGGTCAAATGGAAACTCAAACTATGAAGAGGACGAAGAGAGCACAGACACTGATAACCAAGTTACAGAAGAGCTATTAACAAAAGCAGAGGAAAACTGCACGGCGCAAATAACTGGTTGGACCACTGAAGCCCCGACCACGCTGGAAACTACGACGGAGCCTCAATTTGAGGCAATTTCCTGAGGCATCGTGTGCCGATCTATCACTCGGTTATTTCACCGCGTGGTTTTGATGCCCGTGCAAGCACAGTTCTGATACGGGTGGCGAGGTGCTTAGCCGAGATTGATTTAAATAAAATTTGATAAAGACGACAAAAAGGGTTCCAATCTTTCTCTTATTTGGAATCTAAAAATTGACGACGCATTAGAAAAAAAATTAAAGCTGTTTATTTTGGCTATTTGAAACAAAAAAAAAAAAAAAATTCAATTAGCAGAATAATACTATAACACACATAGAAATGATAACTATATGCATTTAGGAAACGTAACTTTTCATTGCACCAGTGTTTATTGTTGTAAGCTTTCAATTCAATAAAAGGAAATGATGCCGAAATCGCTGCTGCCGCTACGTTTATTCGCGACGAAAACCGTTAGCATTTAGCAGAGGTTCCGACTCAGAAAACAATGGGAATTCCAACTTCGCAACGGTTCGTAGACTGTTGTCTTAGGAGGTCCAGTCTGTAGTCCCGGCCAACGTTACTCCGGGGGTCGGCGGTTTCCGATGTAGCCACCACATTTTCCCCCAGATCCGTCTTCCACTTCTGTTCTTACCTCCTTCCATACTGTTGTCTGCGAAGCGCCAGTCTTTCTACCGGGTTTGGCGGTTTCGAGAAAACGTCGTTAGCGTTGCGAAGCGGTTTTACGTTGTCGCGTAATTTGTGCTTACTGGGGAAATGAAACCATGTGCCTATTGGCGACTCCAGCGAAATCGCCGCCGCCTAGTGGCAATGTCGAGAAGCTCAGGTGAGGAAGTCGTTTCGACTCTGTCGTCTGCTATCGCTGCTTGGTTCTCATAGGCATGCATAAAAACAAACATCTTTCCCAGTAATTATTTTTATGCTTCCGTCGTGTCATTTCTATGCACTGACTTGAAGAAGGTTTCTACCGTCGAAAAATCGCTTTGCTTTCATATGTCACACCGTTTTTACGCTGCAGTGCAAGAAATTTATGGTGGTTCGCGTGCTGAACGACGAAAACGACCTCCTTTTGTCCGCCATTTTGCCTGACCAGCGCGCCCCCTATTCGCGACTCCAGCGACCTATAGGGGGCGCCCCCACCAAACAAACATGGCGGCTGAGTCCAGGTCGTGGCGGCTCGGCCGGGCCGCCTGAACAGGTGGCGCGTTCAATTTAACAGATTTTCTTTTGTTTAATGCCCAATTTTATAGGTATTTGAACTGAGACGGTTAAGTGTAGCCGGTGCAGATAAACTTGCAAAGCATAGTTTTGTTTTGCCGGTGTTTTTTTGTTCTTTTCGTGTCAAACTTTCGTTTCGGAGATTTCGTTCAAAACCGAAACTATGGGCTCCGGAGAGACGGTAATAGATTCTAATCAGTTCTGATCATCTAAGGAAAGCGGCGATGACTATAGAATTGTTCCACAGAGAGTAACTTTACAGCTAACTCGCATGCCTCGACCATGCGACTTATCTGTCCGCGAAATCGAGCTTTTGTGCGTACCCGCGTTTACAAAACACCTCCAGTCTGCTCGGCCAACAACACAGGCTGCAGGAAAATTACGAAAATTAAGCAACCGCTTCTTGATCCAAGGACCATGTTAACCCACCGGCGCCCCACTAAGCAGCTGATACTCGTATTTCAATTCAGGTTTTAGTAGCAATCGAGAAGTCATTTTGACGAGCGGGTTATGTATTATATTACGTACTATGTCCCACTAAAGCGATATTAGTATATTCTTCGGGTTGAAATATGAGCTTAGTTGACTAGCTATCAGGTGAACTGCTGTATAAAAGTATAGTTGACAGACAGAGAGATACCACCTAAACTCAGCCATATAGTTCTAGCCGGCAGCACGAAGACAAACTGAAGAGAGTCTTCATCAGAAATTCACGCAGAACCTCTCTGCATTGAACTTTGCTTCGAATCATGAACGGAGAAAATGAGTATTTTTTGTGGCCGGTCAACCTCAGCATTGTAAACGGATATTGCTGCTGGCTTTGACGGCGGTATAATATAAATATTGGGAGGCGCAATAGATCAAAATGCCGTGACATCTTCTAACGTCGCGAAACTCGTCCCCCACCTTTTGAAAACGAATAATTTCCCTCATTAATCGTATGCAGCGAGCAGGTTTTCCCGAATCAAGTAATTGCCAAATCAGCCCAACTCCTTCAGTGTGGTCCAGAGGCTTTTTCGGCGAAAAGCAGCCAAGATGAATAGCCAACGCACAGACCGGCGTGGGTGGCTCAAACTTGAAGCCAACCGAACGCAACCAAACTCAAGAAAAACAGCTATCGAACCTTCCCATTCATTTGACTGCAGCATTGGTGTTTCCTCCAGTATCAGTTACCAAGCAGTCGTCACTTTGAATGTGATTCGAGACAGACAAGAAATCAAAAAGTTTTTCCGTGATTCCTCCCCATCCAAGAAATCGAAAGCACGCGACCGTGTGCTGTGGAGTAAACGGGCTTTCAAACACGTAATAGAAGAAAACAATCTACTGAGGCTTCGCCACACTAATGATCACTCAGGCAAACTTAAGAAATATTCGGGCCTTCGTCAAATTACATCGTTCGCCACCGCGCCGACAACACGTCTCCGCGAAAGCCATCAGAGACGCGGAAAGGCGCGGAGCGACCTGGACCGGCTGGTTCCCGGTTTTCCCGCTTGGCGGCGTCCGTTTTGCTGGAGTCGCGAATAGTTCGCTGGAGTCGCGAATACTCCTCGGTGCCATCGTAAGAGTGCGCGTCAACAGCGGTGCGTCAGTCGAAGCGTGCGAGGCCACTCTTTCGCTCTTGCGTAAGAGGGAAAGTGGACGTAACGAGCAAACAAAGAGAGCGTAAGAGCACGGCGGGAACAGCGCCGTGGCCTCACGAAGGCAGTCCAGTTGAGTCCAAACCCCGACCATCCAAACAAAAAACGGCTGCGAAAAAAAAAAAAAAAAAAAAAAAAACTGGAACAGCATGCAAACTTACGTACCAGTGTGAAATCTACACGGGTCAGCACACGTATCTTGATCTCTTTAGAGAAAGAGGAACCTGCGGCTTTCCTCCTCTAAGATTATAATAATTCGAATAATAATGCTAACTCTTTATTTGTGCATTGCACAATGTTGGCGCTGAGAAAAAAGATATATTAACATGATAGCCGTTACAAAAATGCTCTATCATTGGCTATAAAAAATCCTTTGTATGGCCGGCTATTCGGGAGATCAGACCGTGGCACCCCAAGCGGCTGACTTTGGAACTACACGGATGGGGAATACAAATAACAATGACTTATCGCTCGGCTGACATAACCAATGCCGCGTCAGCGTTCGGCTGGAGTTCATGTTCTCTGGTCGCCGGAGGGGTTGGAGGGACTCTTTTGTAATGGGAAAAAGCTGAGCTAGTTGGCTTTACGCAGGCCGGAGTTACCACTCCGGCCTGCATAAAGAATGCAGGCTGCACGGTGTATATGCCCAGCTCAGCACAAAAGCCGAAGTGGGTCAAGCTCGGATTCTCTTACGACTGCTTTCGGGAGAGATCCAGCACTAACAAAAACATCACTTCGTTTATTGTTAGTCGTTTTACGTTAAGATGTGAGCATGCCCACAAGGGCTGTGGACATGTCCACAGGCCTTGTGTTGAGTAAACACCGAGGTATGGGGACAACAAATAAGTCAGAGCATTTGCAATAGTTCGATCTCCTCGCTAATAGGAAGTATTCACTGGCGATCATATCCGTGTGCGCTGCTGCTGAGTGCGTGCTGACGCGAGCTTCCGCAGTCCTTTTGGAGCGTGCATTTAGCACCATCAAGGTTGCCGGTCTTAGCAGGCTATTAATGTGAGCTCGTTCTGAGCATGCGCTCTAAACATCGCCCTCAAATATGGCGTCTAGGGAATACCTCCTATAGTTACTACGATAGTTTGCATAATGTCACAACAGAACACTTATCATCTATGGGAGATACGATGTTTATTTGATTCTGTGCTGCATTTCACCTAATCTTCAAAAAGCTTCAGGCTGGCTATATTCATAATACCTTTTTCGTGCGTCTTTTTTTTACGATATTAGGAGAAGAGGTCACTGATATTTGGCAACTTTCAGTAATGGTCGTACCGCGGTGTGTAATCGCGCTTCTTAGCTCCTGGATGATCGGCTTCATAGTAAAGGTGTTTGTTTACGCCTTCCAGACGTGGAATTATGAAGTGAGATTCTTATGTAGCTCGGTTTTCACAAAATTAGAATCACTGCTGTTAATGTGGGGTGTACGTCACCGTTGCCTCACAGGACATTTAGCTGAAGACCTCTGAGGGATCCTATCCTCTTATTTACCAACGTCTCAACCAAGGTACGACTTGTGTTCAGAGTGGTTTGGCGATATTTGCCGGCTAAAAAATATTTATATTATATATTCACATCCACTGATTTTATTCGAGGTTTAATTATCTGTATTACAATTTTTATAGCTTTGCGATTCTAACAGCGTCGGACTCCGGCTAAAGCAACGAAGTTCTGCACTTTGACGAGGGCAGAGAGCTGTGCCGTTTTTCTAAAAAAGCACGCAGTGCAGTGCGTTAGGCATTTGTGAGTGTCTTAATTGAATGGGTATTCAGTGCGGCGGACGACATATTCACTGAGAAACAAAGCAAGACCTCCGACGAGACTTACGACAGCTAGGGGTTGCTCAAGCTCACAGAAGTGTGACTGGTGGCAACAATAAACGCTTCAATAACACGCGCGTGTTTTGTCTTACCCTAGGACAGTAAGGTAGAAGGTAACGCTGCGAATGTAACGGATTACGTTTTGTGGTAACGGTCACATACTTTTAAAGGGTAACATACACTTCCACAAATTCTGTGCCATCTAGTGGCTCAAATATCACTCTAAATTTTTGTATGCTAATAGCAGCTAGACTTGAGTACCTATTCATCAACGGCAGACGTAAAAAAGTACGGTTTTCTTCGCTGTACAGCGTGGGGAATACGCAAATTACGTACCTTTACACCCGGGGACCGGTGCTGAAAGGAAAATTCGATGCCCGTCCCACCGCGCGGCCGACGGCTACCAGCGAGGGCGGTCGCCGTGCCGGATTCACCAACGCCGTGCCAACAACGATGATCCCGATGTCCAACAACATTTATTG